AGTAGGCAGTTTCTTATACGAGTAATAATTTTAATATGTCGGTAAGTTGTCCAAATTATATTTGGTAAATTATTGAAACATTTGGTATTTTTGAAAGGATCAACCAAACATTACTATCTAATCAAATAAGAGTTGATAATTTCGCAACCTTTTTTTGGTTGGTATGTTGTGATAGATCTCAGTAAATTATTGGAACAATTAGTAGTTTTATAGCAATCAAATAAATATTGAAAACTAACTCAAAATGAGTTGCTACTTTTATGTGAGGGTCATTTTCTTTAAATAAATGTTGAAACAATCGAATAAACATCGCAAATGAATGTTGGTATATTAATAGAGTAGTTGGTAATTTTGAAAGTAGTTGGTAATTTGGTATAAGAATTAGTAGCTTGTAACAAATAAATGTGGGTAAATTATATGACTAGTTAGTAATTTCCAAACCTATCTATCAAACGTTGGTAAGTGAACTCAAATGTTGGTAAGGGGACTCAATTAACATTTCCAGACCAATCTAATAACATTTGAACAAATTACCAACGTTGATAATTTCCTAGTAGAGTCATTAACTTGAACAAATTGGTAAGCTGTGCAAAAGAAATCTTGGTAAATTTTTGAATAGTTAGTAATTTCGAAACAATCAAATAAAAGTTGATAATTTCATATAAAAGTTAACAATTTTAACATTTTACTAATTTTAACAAATAAAAATTGGTAAAATATTTGAATGGCTGGTAATTTCGCAATCAAATAAACATTGGTAAAAGATTCAAATAAGAGGGGAAATTGTCTAATTAGTCATAAACTTATAGCACGGATGCTAATTCATTCTAAATTTTTTAATTTTGCCAATTTAGTCCTAAGCTAGTTTTTGCATGAAATTTCAATGTAGCCCTTTCGGCCAATATTCGTCGGTAATCGCTTGTGGGACAGTGTGCCATGTATGAGGCCAGCCGTCAGCGATGATTGGATTACCATGTTAGTAATTTCTTGCGAAAGTTAATCGGAATGACTATATTGGAATTTTCCCGCAAAGGTTTAGGACAAAATTGGCAAAATTGAAAAGTTGATAACTGAATTGGTATTTATATAATATGCTTAGGACTAATTGGAAAATTTTCTCCATATAAGAATAGTTAATTTTTCTCTGTTTCACCGACGCTTGATGGACTTAAGGGGACTGAACCGGTGGGTCCTAGGATCGGAAACTGGACACTTTTTTATTTTTTTCCCACCACAACAAGAGAGAGTGACAAATCTGGACATATTGATGGAAGCGATGATGAGAGACAAATCATTGTGGTGCAACGTTAAGGGAAAACTTTGTACGTGGGTTTAGTTCACATTTTGATAATTTTTTTGAAAAAATAAAAAATAAAAAATATACATACATAGTTGGTCCGGTCCGGTTCGGTTCCCCCTTGGAACTGGGAGCCGGACCGCTCGGACATTGGTTTCACTTTCAGGAATCGGGAACCGGACCGACACTCCTGGGAACCGGACCAAACTGGCCGATCCAGGGGGTCCGTTTTGCACACCCCTAATATGGTCAACTATTTGGCATACCGATGTAGCGTCTAAGTAGCACCGACACGCCGACACGTCATTTATCAAAAAATAAAGAATTTCGACAAGTTGGGACACGTTTTATATTAAATGTATATTTTTATATATACATGATAAATTATCATTTTTATGATTATTTCAATCAAATTAATTTGATTCAAATCTACAAATAAATAAATAATAAAAAAAAGAGTGTCGGACGAGTATCGGTATCCGACACGTGCGACATGTGTCTAACACCGACATGGAAGCCCCCGGAGACTGTCCGTGCTTCCTAAGCATATACATTTAATACTAGGATTGTGCATAAACATGCCCTAATTCAATGATGAATGTTTTGATAAGTAATAACGTACTTAGAGGGTAAGCAACAGTTGAACCGTGATATTAGGAAGAGCGCCAATTGAATTGGTTTCATATTCCCCTAACCCACAAACTTCTTGAAATTCGACTTTGGCCAAAGTTTCCTAGAAAGATTATAGTGAAGTCGATGTTTCCTAGAAATTTAAAATAGATGATACATTTCCGTGTCTCTAATCAATTATGACTTCAAATCGTGTATATATCCTACTTGAAATAGAGAAGCCACCTTTTGTTCTAATTCAAAATAGTTTTTATAGAGTTTTCCCCAAGAGTACACAGTGGCTTCATTAAACATTCAATTTACAATGAGAATATGCTATTAAAGAAAGGATGGAACTCCTAGAAGAGATATGAGAACCAATTGCCTGAGGTTTTCATTATACTATTGCTTATTGTTTCAACATTTCAGCTTTAGTTGACCCTGTTTTGCCTCCATTTTAGATCTTGTATCTCCTTTTTTCGTAATTGAAAAGGGCAACCGCATAATGTTTTACCTGTTACATCTATATGTTGTGCCAACAAAAACAATGTACAAGAAAATGAGCACTTCTTTTACATTCGAAACTTTTTTTCCCTTCAATAGATAAATAAGTAAAGAGGGAGGGACAAAAATTTACCTTCATGATTTATAAAAGAATGATAAAGGCATGATATTCACTAAATCTTCAAACGCAAAGTTATATTGTAGCACAACGTAACCAAAAAGCATATCAAAGTAGAATGATCCGACGAAAAGGTATGACAATAATTCTAGACAGAGAAATGAAAAAGACAGCACTTGTATCAAACTGAGAAGATCCATGGATAAACTAGGTGATATTAGGAAACTTCTTTTTTCTGAAATTGCATAAGTTGTCATGAAATGGTTTTCAAAATGTAAGCGGGGCATATTTCTCAACACTCCATCTCACATGTAAGCAGCGATTCACATGTGAAATGGACCTAACCACATTAACAGAATAGGAAGGCAGGAACACAAGAACAAGTTATCAGACAAAATAGAAATAAGAGAGATTGTAAGAATTCAAACTCTTAAATGATGCTCTAGTAGTACAAAGGAACCCTTTTTCTTCCAAAAGTTCAGGCAAAAGGGAATTAGAACCACAATGCGTGTTAGAGTTTGAAGCTTAACAAGACCCCTTACTACATATTTGATATCTAAAAGGTTTTCTAAGTCATTGAACACACTTCTAAAAGTCAATATGGATAAATACTAATAAGAAACATGCGCGCGACAATGGGCCAATATAGAGCATTATGGCAATAACATGTATATTAACAAATTTAGTCCGCTAAGAGCAAGAAACCTATTAAAGCAACATGGTAACTTTGACACTAATAACCATTTTAAGGGGATGGTTGATAACTCTATAAAAATAGAGTTATTTTACCTATTTTAGACAATAAAATAATGCAATATTTGTTTGAAAATATTTAGATTTCATTCTATTTACTTAAATTTCCCTTTTTTATGCAGAATAGTAACACATGGAGAAAATAAGGAAAATATAGCAAAAAGAAGGAAATGAATATGCTACCCAGAGAAGAGTTAGAAGATGAATATCATATCGGGAATTCTGCAATTTATTCCCTAGTTTTATGTGAAAAAGAAGCACTTGCCTTGTGATAGTAGTCTTAGATGTTATCTTATATATAGGATAACATTGAGAGCTTGGGGGAATAGCTAGTTTTCTTTTAGATCGTTTTTTTTTATTGTTTTGAGAGTTTTTCAAGTATTTTGAAGAGAAGACAAAAGCGGTGACAGAATTCTTGTTCTTTGATTCAAGATGTTGGGTTTAATTTATATTTTTGTTTCTTCTTCTATTATGTTCTAATTTTTTTGTTACGGCTACGATGTAGCCTAACCATGAGGATATCAATTTCCTGGTTTTTATGTTTTGCAAGTGATTTCATTCATGTGAGTTTTATATTATTGTGATTAATGCCTTAAAGTGAGTGGCCACCACTTGAATGATCTTATGTGAATGTTTGAGATCAAGAAATGATAATATGCAATTGCTTCTTATAATAGATAACCATAAATTAAATGTGGATAGAAGGCTACCATGTTATTTGTATAGCTTTAAGTGATAAGGTGGTCCCAAAGATTCATTGTAAACTAGGAATATTTACAAATCTTAATGCACTTATGTTTATTTAAATTCATGTAGAGATATAGTGGATTGATAAATTGAGTAGGTTTGCTATATCTAGAGATATGATAGTAAATAGACTAGGAAATTCCGCTATCACATGTTTGATTTTGTTCTTATATGCATAATGATCTAAAATTCATATCTAGTGGTCATGGTGAAATCGGATGCTCTAATATATTTTATCTGATTGATTATCTGCCTTTAGTTTCTAAAATTTCGTTTCTAAAATTGTCAGTTTTTTATTTATATTCAATTCTATTTTGATCTGTTAGATAAATTTTAGAATTAGTCCATTTTCAATATTTAATTATTTTATTAATCATCAATCTCTGTGGGACGATACTATTCTCATCATTATATTACTTGTTCATTGACACGTTTAGAATTTTATGAACAAGTTTTTGCCGCCGTTGCCGGGGATTATTTGTTTATTACCAATTAATATTAATACAAGAAAATTCTAAGTTTAATCTAGCTTTTTTATTTTATTTTATTTTCTCCATAGTGTACATCGGTGTATGACACGTAGCCAACAAGGAAAACTTGCTAAGTTTGATCCAGAAATTGAACGTACATTTAAAAGGCGACCGAGAGATTAGATAAATCACGATAAAAAGATGGATGGAGTTGGTGATGGTGGAAATCCACGTAGACTCTTGAGAGATTATACTGCGCCAACAGTTCAGGGCACCACATCAAGCTAAGCATGGCACCACATCGATGCTTTTCTTGAAATCTGTGACACAATTAAATATAATGGAGTTACAGATAATGCTATTAGATTAAGATTATTTCCATTTTCCCTTATATACAAAGCTAAGCATTGGCTCTCTTCTCTTCCTGCAAGATCGATCACTACATGGAATGATATGGCCCAAAAATTTCTTGGTAAGTTCTTTCCACCTGCAAAATCTGCAAAAATGCATAACAATATTACTAATTTTATGCATATGGATAATGAATCATTATATAAAGCATGAGAAAGCTTTAGAAGTTTCTTAGGACATGCCCACATCATGGACTACCTGTATAGATGCAGGTACAAACTTTTTATAATGGGTGTAGTACAAATCTCCATTCTATGAATGATGCAGTTGCAAGGGGAGCTATGAATAATAAAACGCCAGAAGAAGCCTACAACTTATTAGAGGAAATGGCATCCAATAGTTATTAGTGGTCTGCTGAGAGGATAGCAGTGCGAAAAGCTAGCGAAGTTCATGAGGTGGATTCTTTCACTGCAATTGTTGCACAAATTGAAGCACTCAACAGAAAGATAAATAACATGAGTGTTTCAGGCATGAAAATTTAGAATATTACATGCGATTTTTGTGATGGAGGCCATGTTAGCACAAAGTGTTAGGTAGGTAACACTTTTGCTCAATCTAATGAAAATTCTAATTTTGTTGGGAATTTTAACAGACCGCGGAATAAACCCTACTCCAACACATACAATCTGGGATGGCGCAATCATCCAAATTTTTCATGGAATAATCAGAATGTGACGAGACTGCCACCGGGATTCAAACAACCAAATGAGACAAAGTCTAATCTGGAAGATATAGTCACCAAACTTGTCAACACCACTCAGGACTTCATTAAGAGCACATATGTGAGATTTCAAAACCAAGAGGCTTCAATTAGAAATCTGGAGATGCAAGTGAGGCAGTTAGCAAACATGATATCAGGGAGACAACATGGTTCTTTACCTAGCAACACAGAGAAAAATTCAATTGAAAATGTAAAAGTTATAACCCTGAGAAGCGGTAAACAAGTCGGAGAAGAAGATGTCGAACAAGAGATCAAAGAAGAGGAGGTCAAGAAACAACCAAATGAGACATGCAAAAGAAAACTTTTTCCAGATAATCCCAAGCCATATGTGCCACCAATTCCATTCCGTCAATGACTCCAACAGCACAAAATAGATAAGCAATTTTCTAAATTTCTTGATGTATTTGAAAAATTGCACATTAATATTCCTTTTGCAAATGCTTTAGCGCAAATGCCTAGCTATGCAAAAATTTTAAAGGAGACCCAAAACCTTACGAGCGCGCGATCATCCCTCCGAGGTCTATTCAGTGCGACGTCCCAGGACGCGGCGTCGACCCAAAACCCAAACAGAGAACAATGCACAAGCGGAAGCAACGATTCACCCGAACAATAAAACACATGACCAAGGATAGCCATCGAACAACAACCATCATAAACATACTTGCATTAATGACAGGGATTTACAATATCCATTACACCAGAACTATACGTGTAAACCAAAATGGGTCAACGGCCACTAATATATACTTCCCCGTTCCAACCGGGGCACTCGGTCACCGAACGGTCTATCCGGTCCCGGATCCAAAACGAATCGGCACACCTGCCATCCTCAAGGCTGGGGTTCTGAAAAGTGGGGTTTAAACAACAGGAGAATAAATCTCAGCGAGTAAGCCCCCTAATCCGAAACTAGGCTAACAGGCACCTCCCGGACAAGCATCAACTAAACACACAGTTGATCAATCACACGACTTAGGTCCTCGGGCCCAAATCAAGCATATAGTGACCCTGCAGGTTAGGCACATAATAATAATAATACTATGCCCAGCAATGCACATACACATGTCAATTGGCCACTGTCACATGCCACACACATGTTTGCACTCATTGATGCACTCTTCGCACACTTGCCAATGTCATGCTTATGCTTGCACAATTCAATGCACACTTGCACACTTGCACACGTGCCAACTTTCCATTTATTCACCGACCCGCGTTAAACGCATCAGGTCCGACCCGCGTAAAACGCATCAGGTCCATCACTTATCCAACACTTCCCGGCCCGCGTAAACGTATCAGGCCCAGTGTCTCTAGCCCGCGTAAACGCATCAGGCGCAACACCGATCTCCATATACGGACCGAACCCGCGTAAACGCATCAGGTTGGCCGTCTTCCGGCAATCCGGGCATTGTCCCGCGTTAAACGCCTCAGGACAGTTTCATTACCCCGCGTAAACGACGCCTCAGAGTTTATGTGATCACACGAGCCTAATCCACCAATTATTATTTGAACCCCGCATAAACGACGCCTCAAGGCGATTTAGGTGATCACATGCTCATGCCATTCGTGCACACTCACATAATGCACATGTTATGCCAATACTCGATATACACATTCATGGCCATAACGTCCACGCTCGGCATCCACAATTTCCACACTCAATTAATGCCACAATATGCTCAATTCACATAATAGCCCAAATCAAGACCACAATGATCAGCCACTAAGAACAAGGGAAAACCGAATACACAGATTCGGAGCAATTCTGAGCCAGCGCACAGTTCTGGAATCCCTTTTTAAATAAATAGCAATTCAACTCCAAAAATTATAAATTTTGGATATGTTGCATAAAACATCTTGATAAAAATTTTCCGTGAAGAACTCGAAACCCAGTTCCAACTGTAAACACCTCTTTTTGTCACTTGAAGTCAGACAAAAATCAACCCGTCCAGTCAGGCCGCCTGACCATAAAAATGCATCTCATCCAGTACCCAAATCACTTTGGAAAGCCTTGAAATTTTTATACGTCATTGACACGAATGTTCTTAACAATTTTTGTGAAGGAAGTTTGTCGAAAAGAGATCTGGAAAAATTTATAAAAAATCGAACAGACCCGAAGGTTGGAGGAACAGTGTTTCCGGCAGACTAATTTCGGTCCAAAGATGGACTTCCGAATGGCCTCCAATGATTTCCAAAAATTCTCAAATTAAAATATGTCATACTTCAAGATGTTATGAACAACTTTCATGAAAAACACTTTCACAAATTCGGCCCACAACAGTCACAGAGAAAATAGCAAAGTCCAGTGACGCAGCAGCAACCCTACCGGAAATCAACCAATGTTCAGCCCATTCTAGGCCATCAAACCACATTTAAATCATTACACTAAACCACCAAAACAGCCACAATATCAGCCCTAATCAGCCCACACTAATTAACCCCTAAAATACCCTAATAACCCCTAAAACTTGTCTAAAGTGCACATAAGCCTAATTAAGGGTTAGGGTTTCCACTCACTAGGTTTAAGGCTTCAAATGTGGGCCGGACAAGGAGAGAAACGGGCTGAACAGCGGCGGCACAACGCCGGACCAGCGGCGGCGAGCGGCGGCTCACGGCGGAGTCGGGTGGAGATGGGGGCTGAATGGCGGTGTTGGTCGGGCTGGAATGGAGGGCGAGAAGCAACAGAAGCAAGAGGAAGCAGAAGCCGAAGAAGCAAGCAGCAGCAGCAACAAAACAGCAAAGAAAGAAGAGAAAGAAGAAGAAGTCAGCAGAAGGAAGCAGCACGTGAGGCAGCACGGGGGAAAGCAGAAGCTGCAGCACGTGAAGAAGTCGGCGGCAGAGGTCGGCGAACGGTATGGTCGGCGGTCAACGGCGAGGCGAAACGTGGGGAGCGAGAGGAAGTCGGCGAGCGACAAGGCAAAAGTCAAAAGCAACGTGAGGGAGCAGCGAGCGTGAAGGAAGAGAGGAAGTCAGCGGGGAAAGAGGTCAGCCGGCGTGGGGGTTCGGCGAGAAAGGAGGAGAGGAGAGAGAGAGAGAGATCAAAGTCCACATACCAATCAAGTGCAATCCAAGGGCTCACAATTGGTCTTGTTGGGCAAGCTAGATCCAAGGGCCACGAAAATTCTTACACAAAATATCTAGGGGCACTTTGGGGAATGAGCAAGAGTAGTGGGGGCATTCACGACCATTAATCTCAGCCACTAATAGACTAAATAAAACCAATTAACACCTCTAAAATTCGGATCCCATTCATAGGCTTAGGGGCAAAACGGTAATTTTTCATTTCCGGCCCGAAATTCCATTTTTCGACTATACCGATCCCCAATATAGTTGGCCATACTAATGTGACGTTGTCCTTACAAAAATAGTCGCGTACGTCCATGAAATTCGACACTCAAGTTCGGACTCAATTCCACGATCAATTTCGCTCAAATGCGATTTTAGCGTCTCTCACTAACGGGTGACTGTTTAGGGGTTACGCGTGTCGATTTAGAATTACTCGAGTCGTGACGGTCTCGATTTCCAGGAAAACACGAGAATTTATAGTTAGTTCCGGGGGTTGCGATCGTTCGGAATGAGTTCGGGATTGTTCGTCACGCGTACTCTCGGTCGTGCGGAATCACCCGCGTTCCGATCGTACGTTGTTGGCCAAATCAAATCCGTCACCTTCTTTGGATCGGCCCTCATTGGCCCAAAATATTCTCTCGTCGTTCCTCGGAATCGGACTTGATTCACGGTCGAGTTCTTAGGTCCACGTACCGTTTTTCCTAGTTAGCCGTTCCCTATTGGTCAGTATCCCAAGAAGGATCCGTTTCTGGGCGAGACTTACTAAAATGAAATGAGAAATAAACATCTATTTCATTGATCACGAAAGTGGGTCGAATTCAGGATGTTATAGGGTATAAGCTGTAGCATTGCCAAAAAACGATGCTAAGGTTGTGGTCAAATTCTTGAAGAAAAATATTTTTACCCGATTCGGCACTCCTAGGGCAACCATAAGTGATAGGAGGAGACACTTTTGCAATAAACAGTTTGAAACACTTTTGAGTAAGTATAGAGTCACACATAAGGTTGTAACCCCATATCATCCTCAGACTAGTGGTCAAGTAGATGTTTCAAATAGGGAAATCAAGAAAATTTTAGAAAAAAATAGTAAATGCCCCTAGGAAAGATTGGTTAATCAAACTTGATGATGCACTTTGGGCTTATAGGACAGCATTCAAAACCCCAATTGGGATGTCTCCTTTTAGGCTAGTGTTTGGGAAGGCTTGTCATTTACAAGTGAAATTAGAGCATAAAGCATATTGGGCATTGAGATTTCTGAATTTTGACATGCAGTCCGCAGGTGAAGGAAGATTGCTGCAATCGAATGAATTGGAGGAATTTCGCAAAGAGGCCTATGAAAATGCTAAGATGTTCATGGAGCATACAAAAAGGTAGCATGATAAACACATATTTAGAAAATAGTTTGAAATTGG